CACACACCTGTACTACACTCCCCACACCTTCCTACACTACACACACACACACCTGTACTACACTCCCCACACCTTCCTACACTACACACACACACACTTGTACTACACTACACACACCCGTACTACACCACACACACACAGACCTGTACTACGCTATACACACCCGTGTTAGCTCCTACTCACTCCCACTACATACCCCTCGTGTCACCCTCCTCTCTCTCTCTCTATTTCATCAGATCCTGGCCATTGAGGGTGCGTCCATGAACAAGATTGCCTTCGATGCGCTACGCAACGGCGCGGCAACGATGAAGAAGGAGCAGAATAACATGAAGTTAGAAGACATCGACAATGTCATGGACGATGTACAGGAGCAGATGGAGGTGGCCGATGAGATAGGCCAGGCCCTGGCTCAGGTATGGGAATGGACTGCCGTGGGTGTGTGTGTATGGGCAGGTATGGGCTGTTGTTTGGTTTGTAGAGGAGGTTAGTAGATACGTGTATGGGTGTTTAGACCCCTTGAAGAATATGGGAATAAACCATAAAATAATATGGGAATAAACCCCAAAAGAATATGGGAATCCAATGGTGTGTGTGGCATAGTATGGGTTGGTATAGGCTATTTGTATGTTGTATAGGGGGGTCAGTACATACATGTGCGCGTGTGTCACTAACCTAGTCAAGGCAAGCCGTGGGTAGATATATACACACACCACTTATACGGCTCTTAGCGGTTCAGCTCAGTTCTAGTGTCTTGTATGATACTCCCTCATCTTCCATGTGTGTGATCACCATGACCTTTCTCAAAGTGTATGCATTGGTCAAGTACGTGTACATGTACGTGTGAAGGAGCCGGTTACATGCACACCATACTCATTAGCGCCCCTACTTTCATCATGGTACCTTGTTTATGGTCTGTGTCATGAACCTTATTGCGCTGCTGAGGAATGTCCTGGCTTTGCGTTGGACTGCTGTACACGAGATATGCAGGAGATATAAATAGAACTCAATCGGTATAAGAGTAGCTCAGTATATACCACTTACCACACACACTCATGAATTATATACCACTTCCCACACTCACTCATGAATTATATACCACTGACCACACTCATTCATGAATTATTTACCACTTACCCCACCCACTCATGCTCCGCAGGGCTTTGGTGGGTCAGTATACGATGACGATGAGTTGCTCAATGAGCTAGAGGAATTAGAAGCGCTGGAGATGGAGGACGAGTTAGAGGAGACGCCTATGGCAATGCCTGATGTCCCCAGTGCCGTGCGTAAGTGCTTTGTGTGTGTTGTGGTTACGTGTGAGTACTGTAGGTGATCTGTTAAGACCAGTGTGTGTGTGTGTAGTGCTGTGTGTTGTGGTTACGTGTGAGTACTGTAGGTGATCTGTTAAGACCAGTGTGTGTGTGTGTAG